TGTTTTTAGGACTAATAGATTTACCTAATGCACGATTTCCTAGAAAATTTCATTACCTCTCAAAATACGTGAAATTTTGCTTTGCTGCTAAGAAAACTGCAAGTTTTACTTAGAAAGTATTGAGTTATACAATTGGTTTGATTGGAATAACGTTTTCTGTTTTCTCCCATAACAACAAGGTTAAATGATTACGTTATTGAGAGTGCTAGCGCGTAAACTTCTCTTTTCACTAGATAATAAGTGGACGCTTAAAGAGAATTTGACCAAAACGAAAAAAGCAAACATTATCAGCGCCGCTATTATCAACAATCCTTCATTCCCATTCTAAAAATCAAGCAAAAGTACATCTCATCCACAATTTATCGTGGTTATATTGTCGAACAATGGTTTGTTGCTATCTTTGAAGTTCACCTAGTCATTCTGTGGGTTTCTAGTGCGTCGCTGTTACTCATTTCCGAATGCAACGTCGGATGTTGTACCTCATATATTGGTGATAGAATACGGCGCGTGCATGCTGTTTGTTGGGTTGCAGGCGGTGGAAGGCGGGAGAAAAAGACAAAACCAGCCAGAATCAATTTCACTGTTTTGGTAGCTTTTTAACTTCATAAGATCTAATTTAGGTTCTGGCGAATGCCTTTGAACCTATCATTTACAGTGAAATTTTGGCTAGACCGACAAGCCTCACTTTGGTTCGGTACAGCATCAACACAGTTTTAGTGCGTAGTTTGCTCTGTTTACTCTGCTTGTTGAGGAAATTCTCGCACCTTTCATTGCAAATAAATAGCGGTCTTTGTTAGAATAGCCTCAACTTTCTTCCATTTTTAGATGACGTTCATCTCTCCGGTCAGTGTTCCAGCTCTTATCAAGGATTTGCAAAGGATCGTAGTCGAGCTTAGGGAGAGTGACCAGGTATAGTGGATCCTTACTGTTTTACACAAAATGCTTCAATGGTAGTAAGGATCTCGTTGAAACTTTGCCCAGAAGGGTAATTTGCATACGGACCACGAATATCATGCCCATTTTCTAAATAGGCAGACGGTGGGTTTAAATAATGAATGAGTGAAAATGCTTTATCAGGGTTGCATGCTGACCAGGAACATCACACCCATTTTTCATGGTATCGAGTAGTACAGGTGCAGGAAAGTAACATTTTAAAATGGAATAGCAGAGGTTTTTCATGTACCACAAATTCATTTTGATCATTGTATGAGACTCGGCTAAAAAGGATATCGGGCAAATGATCCGTGATCAAACACATGGATTTCCTCGCTTGCTGCTTACATCAGGTCTGGCAGGTCCTTAGAGCCATTAAACATGTTTGCTCGTCACCCTGCAATCATAAGATTTAATCAGATCAGCACAGTGAACTTTTGATAACAAGAGCTTGCCGTGCATTCGTCCACACCATGTTGGCGGCTAGTACTGTACGGCTCAAAAGCATTCACTTTTCCTCCGTCAAACACCGCTATGTCGACCACACTGGATTTCTCCACCTGCACAGCAGTAAAGTAGAAATAGACTTTGTTGCTATAGCTAGGCACCTAATGCCAATCATTTAGAGCAATGCGACCCAGGCTTTATCCACTTCTCAATCATTGAGTCATGCGGATTGGATATGATATTCCTAAACAATTCAAATAATCCCTCTGAACAAAGTTTCATTGGGATTCCGAGTTTCGAAATTTCGAGGCACTAAAATAGGACCAGCGCCCGCAAATAGTCACATTATTGCGTCAGATGTTCTCATGTGACGCCACTTGTTGTCGGTAGCACTGCTACCATGTTTGCAACTGTAAAAGTCAGCTTACTTTTGGATTCAGTTTCCCTGCAAATATTTTTCTGATTAAATCTTTTGATGGTGTAATATTCTGTGTTTTGAGGTCAACTTTTCCCTAACATACGCTCATCGAGTCGCCGATATCATCCAAAGGAGAGGCGGTGACACACCTTCGGTTCGCGTTGTTTTAAACAAAAATCTTTTTGTATAGTTACTGCTTTTTAGCGCCATGTCCCAGGTCAGGATTCCGAGACAGAACACAAGGAGAGTAGGAATAGACAGGTAAAATCATGTTTCAGTTCTGTTGTTATTTTCATCGAAATTTTCGGTCAACTCTCCACCTAGATCAGCGATGAGCTCATGTATATTAATAGGCGGGATGACCAGCCTATCTCTTCCAGGCTTTTATCTGCGTTTGATCTACTACTTTTGACTGAAATATTATATGTTCCACACTCTCATTACCAGTCTTCAGCTTCGCGATCTAGACAGTGAAAATCGCCAGCTTCGCCAGCTTTACGAAGATTCTCAGTGGACATTGCATCTTGTGATGGAGGCGCACAGGAGAGAACTTGAAGCTCATTTTGGGCAGGACGATAGTACCACTGCGTCGTCCGCCAAGGAAAATGATAATGATGTGGTCGGTCTTCTTGAAGTATCCTGCACATATTGATTAATCCTCAATTTAAATTCTTCTAGAACACTCATATGCACAAATTGACAATTATCGCTTTTTAAGCAGATGTGTATACAGTCGGTCTTATCAGGGCACAGTATTTAAATACGCAGCGCGACAGAATAATCAAGAAATAAACGACTGCAGCTTTGTTTAGAGGGAATAATTAAATTAAGGTAGTTTTTTTCCTCATAACGAATGTCCACTGTACAGTCAGAGCATCAGGCTCCTAGGTCACGCTTCAACTGCCTCTTTCAACAAATGAACCCATTCAAATCCTAATAAGCTTTCACGTATTATCGTAAATCTTGTTACATCTGATCTTTTTAAGAAGATCAGAAGCGCAGTAAAAGGCAACTGACTGAGCTTATTTTTCCGCAAGCAAGCCAACCTCTTCTTGTAATCTGTGAGATTATCTTGTTGTTTGAATGAGATGTCGAAGTGTAAGTTTGAACGTTCAGAGCAGAGACTCCTGATAATGTCATAAATCCACGTACCTCGAGGTATGCGCAAATTCAGCATTTTTCAGTGACTTTTATCGAATGTAAAACATAATAGCGAAATTGTGACGTAATAATATGGATCTTTCAGTTTCTCTTTTAATTCAAGATTATACAAGTGCAATCGTTTTTTTTCCTTCATCGTTTTGGACCTTTAGGGCAATATGAAGAAACATTTTCACAAAAATGCCGCTCTTATGGCTAGGGACGTAAACGAAGTATTTCGGCATGAGCAGCGGATTAACGAAGCTTTTTTTAAGGTTTTATTTAAAATTTTCCGTTTTTTTTTTGTTCAAAAAGTGCCCATTTTTAGAGAATAGCGGATTTAAAATTGGAAAATGAAG